CCCTCTTTCCCTCTGATGGGCAACCCCCATATCCTCTCTCCTTTCCCTGCTCAGTCTCTCCTTCTCAGCCATTCACCAAACTGCTTTTTATCTGCCTCTCATCTTCAGCTATATTTATTATTTATTTACTTCATTTATACCCCACCTTTCTCCACAGTGGGGACCAAAGCAGCTTGCATTATTCACCTCTCCTCCTTTTTATCCACACAACAACCCTGTGAGATAGGTTATTTATTTATTTTTATTTATACCTAGCCCACTCTGCAGTCCAAAATCACCCTCTGAGCTTCCAATGGAATAAGGGAATTCAAACCTGGGTCTCCCAGACCCTACTTTGAAGCTCTAACTGCTGCACAACAGTGGCTTTCATAGGGTGACTGCTGTTGAACAGTAGCAGACAGCCAGGCCTAATTGAGTCATGCAAGTCAGGTGGTATCAGGTCACCAGAGGTTCCTTCCAAGCCTAGGGTTTCCAGACTCCAAGTGAGACCTAAAGAGCTCCTAGAATTACAACTGAAATCTAGACTCAGAGATCTCTCCCCTTGGAGAAAATAACTGCTTTGGGGGGTGTTAGAAGGATATAGGTCTTATATTATATATCATATTATATTTGACTGAGGCAGGGGTTGTTTGGGGCCGGAGTGCGCGGGAGCACCGCTCCAGCAGCCCAGGAGCAGGCACAAATGGTGGTAGTGGCAAGCCCTGCCCCCAGCTCCCTGTCCCTGCCACCGCACTCCTTCTTTCTAAAGTCGCGCCATAGCAGCGGTGCGATCTTTCCATTGCCATATAATATAATGGGCGTGACTCCATATAATATAATGGGCGTGACTTTGTTCCCCCCCCCCCAGTCCGCCTTGGCAGGCCAGCTGGGGAAGGGAAGGGGAGGCTTTTGAAGATGCTTCCCCTTCTAACATCACTTCCGGTGATGTCAGGGGGCATAGCATATGCTAATGAAATATTATGTTAATAGCCTATTAGATATGCTAATGAGCTCCTGCAGCTTTTTTTCTACAAAATGACCCCTGGACTGAGGCCTTTCCCCTCCCCAAACCCTGCCTTCCTCAGACTTCACCACAAAATCTCCAGGAAGGCATGGCCCTGATGAGTCCTCTCTCAAACGCCAAAATAGGCCTGCAAAGGGCCCTGCCCCCTCCACCTGCCTTTCCCCCCCTTTTTTGGCCCGCTGAAGAGGAGTTTTTTTTATTTTTTCATTTTCTACACACTACATATATATGGAATGGGGAAAGGAGTACTAATGCCCTATCACTATTACTATGGGAAATGGGTCAGGGAAGTCTAAATACATATACTCTACTGGATAAGGGGAGGAAAAACTACCATTCTATTCTAAATCTCCTACTGGATATGGGGAAGGGGTAAAGACTAACACAAATCACGATCTAAAAAAAGCTTTAAAATAGACCTTTTTAACCTATTAGTACAGGCTATACAGAGATTAGTTCGATTATAAAAAATACAAAGTTATTAGCTTGGCACAATTACTGCCCTTAGCACTCATGCTTTAGTTTTAGAGTCTTTTCTTCTTAGATTTCTTCATTTTCTGCAGTTTGGGAGCGGCCTCTCCTTTCTCCAATTCAGATTATTCTGATGACGAGGAAGTTTGGCTTGTTGAGTCCTGTGAGTAGGACTCCTCATCTTCTTCTTCTTCCTCCGCATCTATTTTTAAATTCTTTTCCTTCTGCTTCTTTTTACATTTAGCATTTGATCCATAAATCTTTCCGCTTTTGGAACAGAGTCAATTTTATATTTTTTATCCTGGTAATTAAAACTTAGCCCTTCCAGAAATACCCATCTATACCCTATTCCCTTTTTTTGCTGCGAGAGAGTAAGCACCCTGTATAGTTTCCTCTTTTTTCTTACTTCGAATGGGATGTCTTTCAAAATTTTTATCTCTTCATTCTTGATTTTTAAGGATTTCCCCATTGTTGACTTTAGCACCAGTTCCCTGGTTGATCGTTTCATGAATTTTAATTAAGTTTCCCCTGGGAGTTTATTTTTCTTTATAAAGTCCGGATAAGTCCTGTACGCCACATCCATTTCCTTAATTAAGTCTTTTTGTTTGTAATCCATTAGTGGGGCCAAGGCAACCGCCAAGAGTTCCTTTAGATCCTCATTCTTATCCTCAGGTATTCCATGGAAACATACTTTCCAGCTGGAGCTGTATTAGTTGTGTTTTTTCCGAGGATCTCTCCTTCTCTGCTTCATCCACTCTTTTATTAATACTCTCAGTCTGTTTTTCCATCTTTTTCAACATTTTCTCAGTTGCTGTACTTCTCTTGTCCATTTGCTTTAGCTGTATTTGCACATTGTCCCGTTTGATGTTGAGAGTAGTCATCTGTTCCATTAGAGGGCGCAGTGCATTTGCTAACAGCGAAGAAAGGTCTGTAGATGCTTCCTGGTTCTGGGAGGGAGTCGTTGGTATGTTATTTCCGGTCACCATCTTTGTGCACCATATTATCTGTTGCCTTAATCATTTCCTTGGGGTAAATTAATGGTATAAAACCTATGCTGTGGATTGCTATTATTCAGAATTATGTATTTGTAATACTTTCTACTAGCAGTAATTCTTGAAAACCATTCAGTTATGTAGTAAATTTATCAGTGAATTTGATCTCGTGATCTCTGAAGGCAGTGATAGAGGAGCAACCCATTGAGTCCCAGCAAACCTAATTCCTGGAGTCATGGGAACCATGTGGAAAAATAACCATGCAAGTTCGGGTGGATTGCACTGAAGGGAGGGTGAAATTGCTCACTCTTCCAGTCAGCATAGCTCTGCTAATGGATAGGGTTGTCATAAGAACATAAGAGAAGCCAATGTTGGATCAGGCCAATAGCCCATCCAGTCCAACACTGTCACACAGTGGCCAAAAATACCAGGTGCCATCAAGAGGTCCATTAGTGGGGCCTAGGCATTAGAAGCTCTTCCACTGTTGCCCCCCCCCCAAGCACTAAGAATACAAAGCATCACTTGCCCCAGAATTCCTATCTTTACCTTGTGACTAATAGCCACTGATGGACCTCTGATCCATATGTTTATCTAATTCCCTTTTGAAACCGTCCATGCTTGTAGCTGCCATCACCCCCGGAGGTGGTGAATTC